AAAACCATGAGTGTTCAAGAATCTCTTGCACAACAAAAACGAAGCACACTCGCGCGCGTCGTCGCGAGCGCATGCCGAAATCCTTCAAGAACTTTCGGTTCCGGAAAGATTTCAAAATCGATTTTCCAACAAAGCATACAAAAACACATGGTTTCGCAACAACGATACCCTAAACAGGCTTACGCGCGCGCTCTTGCGAAATTTCAAGATAACCATATTTTCTTTCAATATTTCCAAACAGTACTGCCAAACGGGCTTCGCTCGCGCTTGTCGAAATATTTCGAACGCCTTTGCGCGCGTGCCGTCGCGAGAATCCTTGGCAAAAAACTGGACGAAGTGCAGACGCGCGCGTCGTCGGGCGCGCATGCCGAAATCCTTCGAAAACCTTCGGTTTCGGACGGGTTTCAAAATCGTTTGCCCCAAAAACATTCAAAAACACAAGGTTTCGCAAGACGGATCTTCAACAAAAGCGTGCGCGCGCGCTCTTCCGTCGTCGTCGTCGTCGTCGCCGTCCTCCCTCCTCCCTCGTCGTCGTCGTCGCCGTCGTCGTCCCCTGTCTTTCTTTGCCGTCGTCTTGGCGTCGTCGTCGTTTTCGTCGTCGTTGTCGCCGTGGTCGTCCTTCCTCCCTCGTCGTCTTCGTCGGCGTTTCGTCGTTGTCCCTCCTATTTCGTGGCCGTCGTCGTCGTCGTCGTCGTCGTCGTCGTCGTCGTCGTCTTCCTCTTCCCTCGTCGTTGTCGTCGTCGCCGTCGTCGTCCTCCCTCCTCCCTCGTCGTCGTCGTCGTTGGCGACGTGATCGTCGTCGTCGTCGACTTCGTCGTCGCCGTCGTCGTCGTCGCCGTCGGCGTCGTCGTCGTCGTCGGCGTCGTCGTCGTCGGCGTTGCCATCGTCGTCTTCGTCGTCAGCGTCGGCGTCGTCGTCGTCGTCGTCGGTGTCGTTGTCGTCGTCTTCGTCGTTGTCGTCGTCGAAGTCGTTGGAGATGTCGTCGGTGTCGTCGTAGTCGTTGTCGGCGGCGTCGTCGTCGTCGTCGTCGTCGTTGTCTCTGTCGTCGTCGTCGTCGCCGTCAGCGTCAGCGTCGACGTCGTCGTCGGTGTCCTTGTCGTCGTCTTCGTCGTTGTCGTCGTCGAAGTCGTCGGAGATGTCGTCGGTGTCGTCGTTGTCGTTGTCGGCGGCGTCGTCGTCGTCGTTGTCGCTGTCGTCGTCGGCGTCGGTGTCGGTGCCATATGGTACCCACCGTCATGGTCATAAGAGGTCTTGCGACCAATTTGCGGGTGGAAGGGTGGGATGTTTGCACGAGCAGTGGAGAGGACAGCTTCAAGTTGAGCAAGTGATTGAGTGCACCACCTAGACAGCACCACGTAGAAGGCACCGCATATATTGCATCACGTGGGTAGCATCGCATACATAGCACCACGTAGATTACACCGCACTGATTGCAAGAACCTACTGTTTAGGGGTTCGCGCTGGCTAACATTTTAACTCGTCTTGACTATTCCTCAATACCTGCTCCTTGTCCTGCGTCCGCTGGCCGGCGGCCCCGCGGCACTGGGACCCGGGAACCACCGGCGGGCCGCACCTGGCCCATCGGTGCCAAGGGCCGGCGGGAAGCCGGTGGCCACGGCGGCCGCCACATCGACGCGGCCCCGCGCCGGGTCGGGCGAGGTCGAGAGAGCCGCGCACGGAAGATTGTTGTGGCGTTCGCGGCCATCACGGGCGTTATGTGGGGGGGGAGGGGGAGGGGGTGGGACAGGAAGGGGCGGAACATGGCGAGCCCCCCACACACCCCAAGCCTCTGGTGGTTGGCGCACTGCGGCAGTGCCGGGGACGCACTGCGAGGGGGGCGAGCGTTGCGTCATGGGGAGGGGAGGGGGGCGGGGGGATGGGGGGGGCAGAGCGCGAGTTCTGGCCCAGAGGGTGAAAACAACACTCTCCGTCGAACTGGATCGAATCGGCACCCCTTGAGATCGGTCCGGGCGGGCCCGGGAGGCGCCCAAAAGGGCCCCACCCCAGGCATAGAAAATTGCCCCGAGCTGGCTGTCCATGTTTTTTCCCCAGCGCGGGCGGCGGGGGAAACTTGCTTCGTTGGCGGCAAGGCAGAGGCAGTCCGCCCCAGCGTGGGGTTATTCGGGGCCACCGAAAGGCGAATTGAATTGGCTGGCGTGCGCAAGGGGGGCAACGAGACGCGCGGCGAGGAAAACAGGAGAGGGAAGGCCTCGGGTTGCGCACGGACAAACCCCCAGGTGGTCCTGGCCCCCCGACTAGTCCCAGTTGGCCTCAGCAGGCCCCCCGAGTAGTTTAGGGCGGCCTCCACAACCCAGCACTGGGGTTTTGTTGCTCTCATCGCACTCAACGGCCACATCCCAAAAACCATTCCGAGCACCCAGAGGTGTGTCGAGAAATGCTGTCGAACGAGCATCGCCTCCAAGGGCCCGACACGTGACACCCCTCCAAATGTGTCACTTTTTCGCGGCGCTCGGCACTCTTGGCGATCAAGGCTCCACCAGGCAGGAACACCATCAGTCTAGGGTTAAGTCGGGCCTGTCCCCCTACAGGGGGATGTTCGACGAAAAATGAAAAATACCCCCAAAATGTCCCAACAATAGTCCCAAACTAGTCTGGGACCTGCGGGGGCCTGTCTGTGCGCAGCCCGAGGCCTCGCCAGCGCGCGAGAGAGAGAGAGAGAGAGAAAACAAAAAGTTAGAGAGAGAGAGAAAAGGAGAGAGATATGCAGGGCCGTCGAGGAGCACGACGCGATGCCGGCTTGCACGTGCTTCGCGCCCAGGAACTCCCAGGCGGTGAAGTTTCGCGCGTTCCCTTGCGCGCCGAAGATGCTCAGCGGCACGCCCCGGGCTTTGGCGCCGGCGATGAACTTGTCGCGGACCTGCGCAGACAGAGGGCGCAGAGCGCTTGGCGTAAAAAAAACATGGGCGGACGTTTTGTTGTCAGAGTGAGGGAGCCGAACGGTCATTCACTGTCCCTGGGTGCGTGGCTGTAACGGGATTCCGCGGTGCGGATTCGTGTTGTTGTTGTTGTTGTTGTTGTTAATTGTTGTTATTGTTTGTTGTTGTTGTTGTTTGTTGTCGTCGTGCCCACCCGCAACCCGCCCCGCGACCCACCCCGCGACCCCACCCGCGACCCACCCGCGACCCACCCGCGACCCGCCCGCGACCCACCCGCGACCCACCCCGCGACCCACCCCGCGACCCACCCCGCGACCCACCCCGCGACCCACCCCGCGACCCACCCCGCGACCCACCCCACGACCCACCCGCGACCCACCCGCGACCCACCCGCGACCCACCCGCGACCCACCCGCGATCCACCCCGCGACCCACCCGCGACCCACCTTCGGCCCAAACCACGTTCAAGGTACAAACCACCATTTTCGGCGCCTCCGGCGGGCTTTTGTTGCATTCCTTCCAGGTGGAGAGCCCGTGACCCACCCCGCGACCAACTCGCGACCCAAACCACGTTCAGGGTACAAACTACATTTTTCGGCGCCTTTTGTCGGCCATCTTTTGCATTCGTTTCAGGTGGAGAGCCCGCGGCCCACCCGCGACCACGTTCAGGGTACACATCATTTTTTTCGGCGCCTGCGGCGGGCATCTTCTGCATTCGTTCCTGGTGGAGAACCCGCGGCCCACCCGCGACCCAAACCACGTTCAGTGTACAAACCAATGTTTCGGCGCCTGCGGCGGGCTGCTTTTGCAGTCCTTCCAGGTGGAGGTGGAGAACCCGCGACCCACCCGCGACCCAAACCACGTTCACTGAACGAACCAATGCCGCACAAGCGCGGCGGCGGATTTTGACATGCCGTCTGAGCCCGCAACGAACTCTTCAAGCCCCGCGCATCCACACCAGCCCGTCCAGCAACTTTGCCCTGGCGAGTTGCCTTGATCAGAGAAGTCGGGAAGCATAAAGTGGAAAAACGGATTGCGTTGCCGTTATCTTGGGAAAAGGAGGGGGAGGCAAGAGAGTAAAAAGGGGACGAGGAGGACGCGGAAGAAGAGAGGATGTAAGGAGAATGCGGAGAAAGAGGAGGAGGAGAGGAGGAGGAGGAGGACGAGGAGGGGGAGGAGGGGGAGGAGGGGGAGGAGGGGGAGGAGGAGGGGAGAGGGGGAGGAGGGGGAGGAGGGGGAGGAGGATGGACGACGACGATGATGGAGGCGATGAAGGGGAGGACGACAATGGGAACGATGATGGAAGGACGAGGGAGGACGAGGAGGAGGAGGAGGAGAGGACGAGGTGGAGGAGGAGGATTACGATGACGATGACGATGAGGATGAGGACGAGGACGAGGAAGAGGATGAGGATGAGGAGGAGGAGGAGGAGGGGGAGGAGGAGGAGGAGGAGGAGAGCGCCATCGACAGGGAAGGTGGGGGCCACGAGGTCCGCCGGCTCGACGACGCCCGCGTCGCCCGCGCCCGCCCCCTCACTCTTATCCGCAATTGCGGGGTGCTACGGTATATGTTCAATTTCGGGGGACCCTCGCGGGGTCCCGGGGCCGTCAAAACATGAACTCGGGATGCAAATCCCGCTCCAGTAAATGGGTCGAGACCTCTTGGGGTCCACGTTGTGAAAGATATGACGATGGGGGGGCATCCCTGGCACTTGTATGGAGTATACGACCTCCTGGCCAAAGCAATGAAGGCCTACACTGGAGAAAGAACCAACAACAGCACGAGCATGAACTGCCGGAGGTCCGCGCAGATTTCCTGGATCGGCGTTTGCCCCCCCGTTCCTGGCGAGTGCAGCGCGTCAGGGGCGGCACCAGCGCTGACTACAAAATCCGCGCAGATCTCCAAAAGTTTATGTGGGTCTGGGATGGTCCTGGCCAGGCACCGTGGTGATGAATGGACGCCTTCTGCGGAGGACCTGCGAAGGGAGGTCGGCGACGAACTGGAGGCTGTCGAAGCACGGACGCACGCACGCTGGCAGTTGGGGCGTGTAGATCTCGACCCTGTCGCCCAGCGTCGCGGCAACCTTCTCGGCGAATCGGTCCCTCAGGAGCTCGTACTTCGCGTTCGCCACAGAGATGCGCTCCTCGAGGCTATGCAGCTGGCGCCCTCCTCATCCTCGTCCTCCTCCCCACCATGTTGTCTGCTGCTGGGCGTGGCCAGGTGCATGTGCAGGTGCGTGGCCGAGGCTGTGAAGCCCCGTCGCTCCCATGGGCGGGGCGTGCTGCTAGGCCATGCCGACTGCAAGAACATTTGAATCCGCCAACGTGCCTCGAGGTACGAGCTTTGAGTGTCCTCAGGTTCTGTATGTTAGGAAGAAACTACTGGGAGGTCTTCGTCGGAAGGATTGACGAGGTTTAAGCCCCAATGGGGCGCTGTTACGCCAAATTGGGCCTCGCATTAAGCGGGATTCGGCGGGATTAAGCCGGATTCAACGGGATCAAGCGGGACTGCAAGCCAGATTAAGCCGGACTTCGGACCAGGGCGAAATCAGAATTCGACCTCCCAGGAGATGCATCCGAGTGTATGGAATCCTCTGTATCCTGTATCGCAAGAATTCGCCAAGTGCCCACTAAACCTCAGGGCTCCGGACGCTCTCCGGCGCTCCCGGGACTGCCTCAGCGTCCCCGCGCGACTTCTTGCAGAGAGAGGCACGCCCGCCTCGAAACGGGCCAAGAGGGCCCCAGTGGGCCCCCAAGACGGTGCAAACCCCGAGACTGGCCCAGGAGCTCTCCAAGGTGCCCAGGATGGCCTCAAGAGGGCCCGAGAGGCCGCCAGGACGCCCCGAGAGGCCGCCGAGACGCCCCAAGAGGGCTCCCAGAGGCCCCCCCCCACGAGGGCCCCAGGATGCAAACGTCATGGGCTGTCTGCAGCGACTTTTCGCGTGCTCGCATGCACTTGCCGGGCGTCCGACGCTCCAAAGCGGCAGCCCGGGGCTCGCCCGGGGCCGTAGGCTTGCTCTCTGCCCATGCTGACATCTGGGAGCTTCTCTGGGCGAAGCTGGCGGATTGGGGTGGGGTGGGGCCCGCCTCCGTCACGTTTGTCAAAGTCAAGGCCCACCCCACCCCAGAGCAGCGCCGCTCCATCGACCCACGCCTTCTCGCGGGCAATCGTTTTGCCGACGACTGGGAGAAGAAGATAACGGGTCAGGGGCGCGTGGATTTCGTGCTTCGCGATCGGTGTCGGAAGTTCTCGAGGCTCGTGCGCGCGGTGGGTGAGCAGGTAGGCAGGGCCGCTCCCCTCGCGGCCACCGACGCCGAGCGCCTCACGGCGTCCCAGATGAAGGCGGCTCGCGCCGCGCGGCGCCAGGCCAGCGAGCTGGCCGCCGCCGCCGCCGCCACCGCCGCCCTCGCCCCACCACCGATTGCTCCCCCCCGTCGTGTCGTCCTCGCTGGGGGGCACGCTCTGAGAAGGTGGGTTAGCGAGGAGCGCGGCGATAATTCGTGCGGCTTCATTTGTGTGAAGTGTGGGGCTATGAGCACCCAGCACGTTTTGAAGCTGGGCCAGGTCTGTGGGCACCCCTCGGCTTGGGGCAAGCGGGTTCTCAGAGGCCTTGACCAGAGGAGACTGTTTTTTCGAGGCCGCTGGATTTCGGTTCAGCTCAGTCCTTATGTTCCTGAGAGCTCGGAGGTGATTTGATCCCGAGCTGTGTGCAGCGGTAGGGGGCAGGCTCACTGACCCCCCGTTGTTGTCAATCTGTGTCGCAGGGGGAGGAGGAGGAGGAGGAGGAGGGGGAGGAGGAGGAGGAGGAGGAGAGGGAGGAGGAGGAGAAGGAGGAGGAGGAGAAGGAGGAGGAGGAGCCCAGGATGCCTCCAAGACGGCCAAAGGGGCCCACAGGAGGATGCCCAAGAGGGCCCCCGAGAGCGGGCACTCGGAAAACGCAAAGAGAGCACCTTCGCGCCCTCCGTCCAGTCATCGTCCCGAGACCGCGAGCAGGCCCACCAGAGGCTCCTGAGACTCCTCCTCCTCCTCCTCCTCCTCCTCCTCCTCCTCCTCCTCCTCCTCCTCCCCGGCCCCAGACGGCCCCCAAGAGACCCAAATCTGGCTCCAAGAAGCCTCAGAGAAGCCCCAAGGCACTCCAAAACCGCACCCAAGAGGCCCCCGAGAGGCCTCCCAAGAGACTCTCACAAGCATCCGAGAGGCTACTGAACTACAACCCGCGCGGCCTGGCGGGAGGGGCTGAAAGACGCTAGGTCCCACGCCCCCTGTGTGTATCACAAAGGTGCATGGAGCGCTGCATTTTATTGTGTATGTTTTTGTTTCCCCATTTGTGCTGTCAAGAAATATAACATTGAACAAGACGTCGTCTGGGCCCGCCCGCCAGCCAGAAAAAAAACCGCGCGAAACGTGTCCCAACGGCTTTCCAGCTCAAGATGGATGGCCACCGAGATGGCCACGATGCTGTTACGGTGCAATGTGCCCTCCAGACGGCCTAAGAGGCCCCCAAGACGCCCCCAGAAGACTCCAAGAGGACCTCCAGGAGGCCCAAATCATTGATTGTCCGCTGGTGTTTCCTTAGTTCTCGCGTTCTCACCACATCGGGGCTCCAACATCCGAAGATGGCCCTCGAGGCCTCCAGCATAGCCCCAAGACGGCCCCAGAGGCTGCCCCAAATACAAGCCACGAGAGCCCAAGGCCCAAGACGGGCTACGAGAGACCCAAGACGGCCAAACATCCCACCAAGACATCCCCCAAAGTTCCCAAGACACCACCGCAGGCCTCCAAGACGGGCCGAAAGCGCCTAGAGAGGGCCCCCCGACGGCCCAAAGGAGCCCCCAAGACGGCCTCCGAAGGCCAAGAGGCCTTTGCGATGCACTCAAAGGCCCCTGAGATGTCCCGAAGATGCCCCAAGAAGGGCGACTCGGTTTCTGAGTGTTCCCGTGGTTTGTCGTTTGTTTTTTCTTTTGGCTCTTCTGTTGATGTGCTTTGTTTTGGGAGGTGTGTGTGTGTGCGCGGCGTGTTATTCAGCGAATCGTTTCGAACATGTACAGAATTCACATCAATGTGTGCTAGCCGCACAATAGAATTTGAATTGTACTATTGCTAATCCGAACGACGTGTTTTTTATGTGTGATACGAAGACTGGAAAGCAGTATGTACATCGCCCATAAAGGGGATCCGAATGTACACCCACGGAAGAATTTCATGTGTAGCCCACGCATGAAGATTCAACGTGTATGTCACCAAAGAAAAAAACCATTTGAAATGGAGCCGGAAAAACAGGGGAGAAGGACCTTAACAAAAAAAACGCACACATTAAGATTGCGTGTTGGTTGCCCACGCTTGGAATCTTGTTGTCTGGCGGGGGGAATGGAGGGCGCGGGGGGGCGCGGAACTTTGACACAACCAAAACATCCAGCGGGACCCCACGTCCTAAATCGGCTTCTTGATTTTTCGAGTACCCCCCGCAAAGGGACAACAGGAACACCCCCCGTACCATCATCATCATCATCATCGTGGGCGTCATCATCATCAGCAGCATCAGCAGCATCATCCTCATCCTCATCCTCATCACTTCACTCTCCCTCTCTCTTCTCCACGCGCACCCAAACACTCAGACTCACATCGTCATCGTCATCATCCCCACCGTCATCACCATCACACCATCACACCGTCTTAGTCACCACTACCACTATAAAATCATGATCACCACCATCATCGTTAGCACCACCCCACCTTCGTCAGCAGCATGCGACTCTAGCATCACACTCACATTCTCAAACCTTCATCCGAAGACCTTTCAAGGCGGTCGTGAGCGAGTTGTACCGAAATCTCAGGCGGGACCCCCGTGTGTGGGGGCCGCCAGATCATGTTAGCAATCTGCGTGGGTCATCCAAACCCGGTAACTGTGATCATGACCATATTCCGAACGGGCCATCCAAGTCTTGTAACTGTGATGGATGTTCGGTTCCTGGGGCGTGGGTCTGGAAGAAATTTCGAGCGGAATACTCAATTGTGAATACATGATGAGGAAATTTCGAAAGGAAACCTCTTTTCCCGATGGACCGCCAAACCATGTGATTCATCCGAACGGGTCATCCAAATCCTGTAATTGTTGTCTGTTCTGGTCTCCTCAGGAAGAGGTGCCGAACGGAAGCCTCGTCCCCGAATGGGTTGCAACAAAATCCTCGGCGAGAGCCCCTTTCATGTGGGGCCGCCGAATCATCCAAATTCTATAATTGTCACTTCTGGGCTCCTGGGGCGTGGACCTGGGAGAGGCCTCGAGCGGGAACCTCGTCTTTGAATAAATGTTTTATATATATATACGTAGACAAAAAAGAGAAACAAAAAAAACAACAAAACACGCGGGCGGGGCGGCCTCCGCATGGAACCACCGGATCATGCTAATCATCCGAACAGGTCACCCATATCCGACACGTAACTGTTGTTACGCTTGGGCTGAAATAGTCTCGAGCGAAGGCCTCGTTTTTGAGTGAATGGTGTGAACGTAGCATGCGGGCGAGCCGGCCTCCGCATGGAACCACTGGATCACGCTCATCATCCGAGAGGGTCACCAATATCCGATGCGTAACTGTTGTTACGTTTGGCCTCCTGCAGCGTGGATCTGGAAGTCGTCTCAAGCGGGGGCCTCGTTTGTGGGTGAATGGTGAGGATCGCAAGGCGGGGGGCCCTCCGTATGGGGGCACCGGATCAGGTTAATAATCCAAGCGGGACACCGAAATCCTGTACGTACCTGTCGTTACGTTTGGGCTCATAGGGCGTGGATCCGGAGGATGGCTCGAGCGGGAGCCTCGTCTAAATGACTGGTACGAACGTTCCAAACGAAAACCCACGTCTGTGCGGGGTCCATGAATCGGCCGCGGCACGAGAGACCCATGCCACGCCAGCTCTTACGCCACCGGCTTCTGCCGCACGGGCATCTGGATGGAGGCGCATGGCTTCAAGGAGCCCTCAATAAACCAAGAGCCGCCGAACTGCTGGTACAGGGCGCCAGAAGCTTTAACGACGACGGCCGCGCCAAGGCGCGAAGCTTGCTCATGTTCAGGCCCAACGAGCAGGAACTCACGCGGCAGAGCTCGGGGCCGCACGCCGTGCTCTTTTCGACATTCACCCTGACGCACGCGCCCTACCT